TGACACTCTCAGGAGAGGTGACACTCAGGTAGAGGTACTCTCAGGACAGGTGACACTCTATGGAGAGGTGGCACTCAGGACAGGTGACACGCAGGCAGAGGGGCCCCAGCAGCAGGCAGGAAGCCCCCGCAGAGCAGGGAGAGAGAGAGGTGCCGAGCTGTGGGGTCTCAGGAAAGCAAGCCCACCCCCAGGGAGTCCCCCTCCTCGAGGACTGCAGACGGTGGGGCCACACTCACCTGCTTGATGGCAGCTCTGAAGGCCCCCAGCACAGCTGCAGCACCCCCACAGTCCCTCTTCATCCCCGGCATGGTGGTCTGGAGGGGGCACAAAGGGGCCAGGACAGCAGTGAGCATGAGTGGGTGCTGGCCTGCCATCAGCAGTGCCCCACCTCTGCCTGGCACATAGGACCCCAGAGCGGCGCCCTCAGACCTGCAGGACCTGGTGCCGGGTCCCCTGAGCTCACACAGAACCCAAGAAACGCCCGCCCCCCCCCCCCCGCCCCGGTCACGCAGCTGTTCTCCACAAGCGCTGGGACATAATGGCCAAAGGGGATGGGACCCTTTTGCCGGAGTGGAGCTTTGGGGGTCACCTGATGAACCAGAGGTGGGAGGGAGGGGAGCCGGGGAGCTGCCCAGACCCGCCACGTTGGCCGTGGCCTGGCTCCTACGACCCGGCCACCCACCCCCAGGCTGCCAAGTTGCCCTGGGGTCTGTCTGCAACAGCTCTCTCTGTCTGTGTCTCTGCCCAGTTTTTGAGGAAGAAGCTGAGGTCTGGGGCCTCCAAGGCTTGCTTGAGGTGTCGGGGCAGGGCTGCTGGGCTGTGGGGCAGGCTTCCCCACACCTGTCACCACCTGGCCCCAGCTCCCTCTGCTCCCTGACATCAGTGTCTCCAACAATGGGCTCAGGTTAACGCGAACTCTTCCCCAAGGTCACTGTCACCAGTCCCCAACCCCACCACCCGCTCTGTCGAGATCTAATGGGGGGGCGGGGGCATGCCAGGCACAGGTGCCCTCATGCTGCAGAAGGAACTGTGAGAAACTGTGATTTTTCTACAAACCGGCTGAGAGCGGTTACACGTTTTTCCATTTGATGGGCTCCCAGCTCTAATTGACAAGTTCATACTTTAAATTCGCAACAGGCCATCAGATGCAGGATCTGGGTCGGAAACGTAGCGGGTGATTTTTTTGAACCCTTATCGGATTACACAAGCCTCGGGTTTTAATGGAAAGCATTTTTAGACATAAACTGAGCTGCTTTTACAATTAAGTTGAGTGAAGATGACCCGGCTAGCACTATTGAAAATAAGCTGTCTCTTTGACCTAATCGGCGAGAAAGCACAGGATTGTTTAAACGGAAAAACGGGGGCCTCAGATCTGGAATCAAACCACTCGCAAAACGGCCTGCACAGAATAGCTCCAGATGGTCTCTGAAATTGAGTCTCCTTGTCACCAGGGCGGCGGCCTCCCGACCACAGACAAGGAGCACCAGGCGGCAAATGCACCTCAATTGACTGCGTGAGCTTTGCAGACCGTCCCCCACCGCGTTCTTCCCGGTTTTACAAAAGAGATGCTCTCCAGAGTAGCAGGAAGATGTCATCCGCCCGGGACACTCATGGGGCTGTCACACGATGCGGCAAAGCAACATTGGGCCGCGGCCACGACACGGACGGCCGCGGGACTCGCCTCCGTCCTGCAGAGAAACATGGCGGGGCCAACTCCCTTGTCACCTCGCCGATGCAGATACATGATTAACTTTTCCAAGTCTCCACCGCCGAGGGCAGCTGTTTTCCATGTTCCATGTGATGGAATGGAAGGTGCGTGCGGAGCGGTCCTGTCCTCGCCAGATGCTCGCCGGGCGGTCAGGGCGGGGGCTGGGGACGGTCGCCGAGGTCTCTGCTCGGCTAGAGAACCGCGCTCCTGAACACCGAGCTTGACTCAAGGAACCACTGACGTGTGCCGGTCATTCAGACTTAGGCGTCTGGCAGATGTTTTCTTTTTTTTTTTTTAACTTTTATTTATTATTGAGAGAGACAGAGTGCGAGCAGGGGTGGGGCAGAGAGAGGGGGAGACACAGAATCCGAAGCAGGCTCCGAGCTGTCAGCACAGAGCCCGACGTGGGGCTTGAACCCACAAACCGCGAGATCACGACCTGAGCTGAAGTCGGACGCTTAACCGACTGCGCCACCCAGGCGCCCCATGGCAGATGTTTTCTTAAAAAGGAAGAAAGTGAAACTCTCACTTCCAGAAGAGCCGACAGTAGTCGCTGCCGGTGGTAAAATCTGAGCTTTCACGCAAAAATAATGATTTTGAAAAACTTGTATCTGTCTCTGTGACAGCTTCTTAATAGCGATTTTTAAAAATGAGATGGATGGTGGGACCAAGTGTGGCTTTTAAAAATATCGTATGTTGGGGCACCTGGGTGGTTCGGTTGGCTGAATGTCTGACTCTTGGTTTTGGCTCAGGTCATGGTCTCACCGTTTGTGGGTTTGAGCCCCGCATCGGGTTCTGTGCTGACGGTGTGGAGCCTGCTCGGGATTCTCTCACTCTGCCTCTCTGTACCCCTCCCCTGCTCACTCTCTCTCTCTCTCTCTCAAATAAGTGAATAAACATTTCTTTAAAAATTTTTTAGAAATACAACGACATGGGTGGTGGAACCAAGTGTGACTTTTTAAAATAGTATATGTTGTGTCAAAATTCGGAGGTTCCGCCTAACTCCGGGGACAGTGTCTTCTGAATGGCCCATGCATGACGCCACAAAATCACGCAGAGTTCGAGGCAGACCGTAATAACAGAGCGCACAGAGACACTGCCACGGTTTCTGATCCCGCACGAGCACTAAGCTTACAGACGCTCTCGCTCGACGAGTTTTGGTGTAATAATAGCAAAGAAAAACGCCCTTGGGTGTTTGTAACGGGCACTACAATATTTCTCCCTTTTCCAACTACAAAATGAGTGAGGCCAGACTTTCTTTTTATATTTCAACTAAAACAACAGATCACGATAGACTAAATGCAGAGGCAGCTACAAGATCACGGCTGCCTTCTAGTAAGGCAGACGTGAACGAGACTGGCAAAATGTCACATAATGCCCCTCTTCTCAATGGCTTCTTTGCATTGGGGGAAATGCAGCTATTTTCGTAAAATATTTACATGAACATGCAATGGGTTTACACTGTTACTTTAAAATAAACAACGATCTCTCCCCAGTTTTAATTTCTAGTAGGGTAAGTATCGACCGACATCACTCTTCTAAAAGAATCTCCTTAGGATCAATACTTTTTGAGAGGGGAAGGGGTTCTGAGACTAACACATTTGAGACCTAAATTCACACTGATCCTGATTTACCTTTGAAGTCTTTGGAGACAGTGCCCCCAGCAACACATGCCTCCTTCTTCAGCAGCCCCTGCTTCTCACTCTGGCCCTCCAACAAACCAGCATCCCAAATAAGCGTCTGATCCCAGGAGAAAGGAGCTTGCAATTCTCCCCGATGGCACTGAGCTGCCTCCAGGGCAAGAGCCAGCGTCACGGGTGAGGGAGAGCTGTAGCCAGCACCAGGTGCAGCGCAGGGCTACACGGTCTTTGGAGTCTGAAAATAATAATTAACAGACTAAGAGTCGGTTTGCCTGTTGTCATCAGTGGTAAAATATGTCTCCCGAAAAATCCGTGGCTTGAAGTGAGTTTTAATCGTATCAAATAAAAGGTTTGAACCCACCCATGGTAATTACGTGTCCTTTTAGAAACCTCATTCTACATGGATGCTAATAAGTGCCAGGTGCACAGCTGGCCTGACCAGCACAGACGTGCCTTCCACCAGGGAACGGAGGTGGGGTCGGCACCCACGGTGCCACGCGTCCTGCCCGCAACCGTGGGCTCCGAGCAAACCCAAGAGTGCAGGGAGCCTGGGACTTTCAGCCTCCTGCCGTCTATGGGAACCACTGGACTTGTTTAAAACGTTTTTACTCCGCAGACCTTTGAAGGCCGCTAGAATCCGTCTCGAAGGGCTGAAAACATGGACAATATCACAATTTCTGGGGTTTCGTGGGAAATGGGGTATCTGTGTATTGACCGCTTCATGCAAGAGAAATTCTTCAAGATTAAAATTAATCGTGGTTTTGGACCGATTTGGACCAAGCACGAGTGAAGATGGTCTCACAAATCTGGTACCTCTGTCCAGGCAACGGACATAAAGATGTGGAAAAGATCACTTTGGATAAAATCCCAGACAAACCTGCAGAAGCGAAGGCCTGAAAACAGACACCGTCATGCTAACATCTGTTATCATGACAAACCACAAGGGAGACATACGCCATTTTCCGTCTAAAACAGCACGTTAATGTTATTTAAAAGTGTCGATGTATTACCGTCTTCTTTACGTGTGCTGTCATATTTATCCCTTTATTTATCAAAAAAACCTTTTTAATGTTTATTTGTTTCTGAGACACAGAGAGACAGAGCATGAGTGGGGGAGGGGCAGAGAGGGGGGGACACAGAATCTAAAGCAGGCTCCAGGCTCCGAGCCGTCAGCCCAGAGCCCGACGCGGGGCTCGAACTCACAAACCGCGAGATCATGACCCGAACTGAAGTCGGTCGCTCAACCGACTGAGCCACCCAGGCGCCCCTACACTTTGTTTATTTTCAAGTAATCTCTACACCCAGCATGGGGCTCGACCTCACAGCTCCGAGATCAACAGTCACACGCTTCACCCACTGAGCCAGTCAAGTGGCCCTATAATACTTACTTCAACTTTTTACTGGCATGATAATACATATGGAAGGTGTTTGTTTTTTTTAACCTTTATTATTGGATCATTTCCTGATTAGTCCTGAAAATAATGCTGTTTACAGGAGGAGGGACGTTACCAAAAAACCAAAAAACAAAAAACAGGGGCGTCGGGGGGGCTCAGTCGGTTAAGTGTCCGACTCTGGCTCAGGTCACGATCTCACGGCTCCTGGGTTCGAGCCCCGTGTCGGGCAGGGCCTGGAGCCCGCTTCGGATTCTGTGTCTCCCTCTCTCTCTCTGCCCCTCTCCCGCTTGTGCTCTGTCTCCGTCTCTCAAAAACAAATGTTTAAAAAAAAAAAAAAAGGCCATCCACTCTGGGTACCAAATGCACTAGACGGACTAGCGGTCGGTGCGAAAGGCAGCACACAGCCGCTAACTGAAATAGCGCCCAGCACTGGGGTTCAGGTCAGAAAGCGCCGGAGCAGCGGTGAACCCCACCGTGCGCGCCTCATCCACGGGCCGGCGCCTCCTGGCTCCAACGAGTGCTGCCGGGGGGAGACAGAGGACCCGTCCCGCCAGATCCGCTGAGTTTACCAAAGGTCGAATAGCCAGCCTTCTGTGAGAATCTTCCTGTTTTGTAAACGTTGGTAACTCACTCAGATTATAGACCGGCGCTTGGGCCAACAGGACACATCTGTGAGCCCCGCCGGCTGCCAGCTCTCCGTGTCTGCTCTGCGTGACACGTCTGTCCCGTCTCTTCTAAAGCGTCCTCTCTGGCAAGGTTGGCTCTCCTTTTCCAGGTCTCCTGGGGCACCGATTTCACATGCCTGCTCCTTCCCAGGCCTTCTGGGTCTTGGCGCTGGAGGGCCCAGCCCAGGCCGGGTGCCCAGTAGTTGCTCAATGCGAGTGTGTGACGTGAGCAGATGAAGACGTGTCCCTCCTCCTCTTCCTGGTGCCACCTCGGCTCGCGGTGCACAGCAGGCCTGAAGGCGCCGGGTGTGGAGGAGGGAGACGGAGCCACGCCTGAAGGCCGCCCACAGGACAGACTTCTGAGACCTGGCCTCACCAGAACACCTGTAGGCGGCTTGCCTGGGGATCCAAACCCCTCCGGCCTTCTCCGGGGGCCTATTCTCCGCACAGGCTCCCGCAGACCCCCACTAAGCGTTCTGTGGAAACCCTGGATGGTCGTGGGAACAGTGGGCACCACCCCACGCCCTTCGTTTCAGATGGAACCACCGATTCCTTAAACCTTGCCTCTTTGGGTTAGTTTTCCAGCCTTTTCATTGTTTCTGCGGCTTTTCTCTGGATCCCGTCCAGATTTTTTTGTTTGAAGTGTGGACACGAAACCATCTCCCCCCCAGAAGAGGAATCAGCCCGGCCGATTCTTCCCGAACTTGGCTCCCCAGAGGCACGCCCCAAGGCCAAGGTCCCAGAAACCTCGCTTGCTGCCTTCCTCCGGCGCCCCTGAGAGGTGATGGGCCTGCCTACAATCCTCCTCCCCCGGGCCCTGTCCAAGCGCTGGCCCCCGGCACCTCACCTTCCCTTTGATGCTGAGACCCCCGGTGTCGTAGACGATCCCTTTGCCCACCCACGCAATGGTCTGGGTGGCTCCTTCTGGGGTGTGGCTGAGGACGGCAAGTGCGGGGGGGTGCACGGCGGCTTTGCCAACACCGTAGATTCCTACAGAAAGCACGGGGGCAGGGTCAGTTGGGCTCGGGTCGAACCGAGCAGAGACCTCCCAGCAGCACCCCCCCTCTCCCCCTCCCCCAGAAACACCAGCTCTCTCCCAGGAAACAGCTGCTGGCGTGTGGATATTTCTCCCGGAGCATGTGCAGTCCTAGCCCGAGCGACCTGCCCCCTCTCCTGCCCCCTGGCCAGCGTGGGATTCGGAATGCAAATTAGTTCCAAAGCTCTGGGGCTGCAAATGAATTCTATGTGAAGTATCGTTAGGCAAAAAAAAAAAAAAAAAAAAAAATCCACCGAGGGGAAAAAAACCTGTATCATTCCCAGAAAGAAAAGAACACGATTGCAGAATGAAATGATTTTTGGATAACGCTTCAAGGCCACTCCAGCCCACGCTCATTCTCCCACCCGGAGCCCTCCACCCTTTCCAAGCTCACTCCCACCACAGCCTCGCTGCAGCCATGCCATTTCCTATCTTCTCAAGAAAGCCTGTCGTGGGCAGAGACCATGCCTTGAAGTCCCCCAGGAACCAGACTGAACAATCATGAAAACCAAGACGACAGCTGATAATGGCTGCCGGACAAACTCCTACACATCCTGTAAGACCCGCTGCAAACGTCCTCTCCTCTGTGAAGATTCTTCCCCGAGAGGAGCAGCCTCTCCCTCCACCTGTGTGGATGGTTTACGTGTCTTGTGGTGGCACCTCCAAGAGAGCCCCCTGGGCCCCTCACCTCCGGGCGTTCTAGAGCACGTGGGGCCCCTCCCGCTACGTGTGGACAGAACCTCAGGTCCCACTTGTTCTGGATACAGCAGAAGTGACGAGATACCACTTCCGAGACTGGGTTACAAAAAGAGACCTTGGCTCTTCCTCGCCTGTTCACGCTTCCTCGCCCAGAAGCCGTGCTTTGAGGGAAACGGCTGTCACCTGTGAGCTCTGCTCGAGGAGAGGCCCTCGTGACAAGGGACAGCCAGCAAAGACCCCAGGCCCAGTGACAGAGAGCACATCATCGGCCCCGGTCGAGCCTTCAGATGATGGCCGACCCAGTCAACATGTTGGGTCTCTGCCCAGGAGAGACCCTGCACCCAGCACCCGGCTCAACCGTGCCTGATTCCCTGCCCACAGGACTGCATGGCCCTTCCTTCTGGAATCATTTGTTTGGCAGCCACATATCAAGAGTACAGTGCCCCTCCCACAGCGAGACTGAGAGCACCTTGTCCTAGTGCCTAGGGGGCGGGGAGGATGGGCCTGGTCGCTAGGAAAGGCCCTCTGAGAAGGTGGCTTCCACTCAAGGTGTGCAGGGTATGATGGCCCTGCCATGACAACATCTCGGGGAAGTACTCAGAGAAAGACAGCTGTAAAGATGAGGCCCTAATGCATTCCCAAATGCAAGCTGGTGCAGCCACTCTGGAAACAGTATGGAGGTTCCTCAAAAAACTAAAAATAGAACTACCCTACGACCCAGCAATTGCACCACTAGGCATTTATCCAAGGGATACAGGTGTGCCGTTTCCAAGGGACACATGCACCCCCATGTTTATAGCAGCACGATCAACAGTAGCCAAAGTATGGAAAGAGCCCAAATGTCCATCGATGGATGAATGGAGAAAGCAGATGTGGTCTATATATACAATGGAGTATTACTCGGCAATCAAAATGAATGAAATCTTGCCATTGGCAACCTCGTGGATGGAACTGGAGGGTATTACGCTAAGTGAAATTAGTCAGAGAAAGACAAAAATCCTATGACTTCACTCGTATGAGGACTTGAAGAGACAAAACAGAGGAACATAAGGGAAGGGAAACAAAAATCATATAAAAACAGGGAGGGGGATGAAACAGAAGAGACTCACAAATATGGAGAACAAACTGAGGGCTGCTGGAGGGGCTGTGGGAGGGGGGAGGGGCCAAATGGGGGAGGGGCACTGAGGCATCTACTCCTGAAACCAGCGTTGCGC